GACCCTACTGTATATATTTCGTAGAATCTAAAGTGTATTTATAGATTGGTACAACTTTTTTACGACCTGTGTGACTCGTGATAACAGATTATTCGGTATTCAAATATTCGTTTTAAACAGGCCGACTACTGATTATTTTAATATTCTCGGTTTCCGATGCTTATAAACGTTTCTGTAAAAGACAGATTTTAGGCATTGGAAAATAATCGGTAAAAACATAATAAAAGCCGGAAATGATTATCATTTGTATTTTAAATCAATACGTTAAACCACATTTCATATCAACGAATTTCAATGGAGCGCATATAATGTGATGACAACTATATACATCCACACACACAAATGCATACGCACGATTGTACACACACACTAAAGCGTAGTCGTAAGAATAAAGTCCGTGCAACAAAGACTGTACACACATTATTATACCAATAGTAAATTATATTCTTGATATTTTATAATATATTTACAATGTTGCTGCTCAGGCCATTTTACGGCAAACGTGTGACTTGTTCAGTATACAGTATACTGACATTTACATATATTATGAAAAAAAACGCCAACGTGGTACAATATAATGTAATCTGATGAATTTTGATTGCCGACATATTTCATAATTATTAGCTATAAGTAAATATGATTACGAAGCCGTTATTTATTTATTTATTTTAAGTGTTATTCAGTTTAAAATGTCATAGTTATAATAATAACTGTATAATTTAATGATTAATAAACAATGCAAGTTATAACAGAAAGAACATAAAAATTGTTTATTTTATATTTTTGTAATTACTCTAAATAGACTTTAGTGTTATAATTTTATAAAAATATATATACCTCATATATTGAGTCTACCACTTTGCGTTGATTACAGCGGATTTTTTCATTATTTTAATTTTATACCCGTAGGTACATCATACACATAATATAAAATTATAAAAAATAATATGGTTAAATTTATCAATATCATCTTGCGTACATATAATTAATTATAAGTAATACATTTTAAGTATATGTTTTTATTTGTATTGATTTACATACACTTAAGAAAAATCTTAATAGTTGTCACCACAATATGATAGACTCGCTCAATGAAATATCAACCGCACTATGGCAGTGCGCAATAACTGATTTTAAATTAAATTTTAATCCTATATTATTATAAAAATAAAAACTTGTACCGTTTCAAATAAATTTGAAAAATTTATTTTGATTGATGATGATATGTTTGCAAAAAAATAAGTGTACATTACTTTCACTTTTATAAGTTTTTTTTATAATTCATAAAGAATTCAAATAGTAACAATAAATACAATATTATGTTGTTCAATGGACAATAGCACGTTATTACATTGACTAGTTTGTGTATTTATTTATTGTATTCAGTCATAATATGACTGTCATATTCATCGAATTCCTTCGAATGCATAAAAATAGAAAATAATTTACGATTTCAATGACGCACTCGGAATGATTAAATGCATTTCGTGATTGTCATAACCGAATTACGATTTATGATATGTTGTTGAAATGTTAACTAGTCTTTAATAACGGTCAATATGCAACCAAAACAACATTTAATACACGAAAGATTATATTTACGATCCGGATTCCGGGTCGATTAGTGCAACCCTAACGAATGAACGAATTGAACGACTTCTTATATTTTTGCGACCCGAATCGGTTCGTTCACAAGAGTGATCCGTTCAATTTGATCCATTTTCGAACGACAAATCCTTAGCGCGACACATTACGACGACCGATGCTATTTGTTTGATACAACTGTGTCAACTTTGATTTTTTCGACCGCAGATATGAAATTCTGAAACAATACTAGAGGTCGAAAATAATTCTCTATAATTGAACGTTGTTGTTTTTTAAATATCTATTGGTTCATAAAATTCTTCGCTGTTTCGATTTTTATACATTGCATTCTTTGGCAATGAAGTAGCAACTACAACATGGTTGTTTTTATTGTTAAAAAAAGTGAAAGAAGAATGTTATTATTACGTAAAATAGAACAATTCCTATTGAAATTAGAATAAAAGACGTGTGCATTTTTTGACAAGTTTGTAAATGAACTAAAAACGTATGTTAATCTTGAACGCTAACGGAAAAACAGTTTTGCCGATGCAACCGGTGCATACTGCTTGGGTACCAGATTCCATTTGTATACCGATTGGGTCCCGTGTTAAAAGGCCCACTTTATACTACTTGTGTTAAAAACAATACCGTGATAATTGGGTCCCGAAAAAATAAAAAAAGCATTTTCCTTTTAGAAATTTAAAACCATCAATAACATCAATAATGCTTGCCTTTTTCAGTAAACATAATACCACGAGACTTGGCCGTTATGAGTGGAATGTGAACACATACTAGTATGGTATAATAATCAGTGTAATTCAGCCCATTTTATTTTATTTCCAGAATATACGTGATCAACAGTGTATTCGTACTTAATGTTATTACTACGATACGATAAATAATTATAATCGAACACAATTCGAACGTATCATTTACACGCCCGGATCTTATTCAACATGTTGCCTACCGGAAACCACTTTACAAGAAATGCGTCGCGACGTCCATTAGCGACCGCCGTCTGACCGTCCTTGTTCAGATCAATACCACGATTTTAATCGCTAAAGATAATATACATATATTTTTATTTATTTAATGCGTGTCCTGAGCGTGTTTATATGGTTATAATACTGGTGTGATTGTCAGCCGTTCCCCCCCGTGGATTTTCGATTTTGAAATGGAAGAAATGTCGTACGAATTTCACGATAAGTCTTGCAAACTCATCGCGTGCATTATTAATTGCTTACATTTTTTTATATTTTTGTATGAGGAAGAGGGCTTGTAACGTGTTCGTATGTGACGCTTATGTACGAGTAAACCGGATTTGGAATAACGATAAATCTCTACTATATTTAGGGTTGGATCTAAAGCTTGTTTAAGGAGATAGACGAATGCGAATATTATTACTATTATTATAATACATTAATATTGTACTGCAATTTATGATTATAAAACATGTTACCTATACAAAGATATACATAGCACTATTTGATAGCAAATATTTATAAATATGATGTATAAAATTATAAAATTATTAAATAAATCTGTGTTAAAAAAGAAGCTCAAGGATGGGAGAGACGTTACTCTTCCCATCCGTGAGATCAAACCCGATGTACAAACAATGTAACGAAAGTCAGAAATCACCACTGTAATGATGGCAGTCGTGCGAATAAGATTATGCATTACAATCATTGTTTTACTACAAATACGCGTGCGTGAATGTACGGTGCGTAATGCCAGATGAGTGATGACGCAAAAGTTAAAATACCGAAAACAATTTTTACGATCGTTAATTATTCACCCACGTGAATTGCGCTGCGATCGCCGCTAAAGGCTCTGTCAAACAAACGCCTTTTTACCGTCACATTATATAAAAGACGTACTTGACCGCTACATGTACGTTTGCCAGGTACAGCCCACTGCCGTGCGTGATTTTGTAAACTCGTAAAACTTCGCGTGCTACTGTCGTGTTATTCACGCCAACAATCTATGTTTGACATCCAATAAGATTTGGAATTGAATACAACGCGACGATAATAATGCGTTCTGTTTGACAGAGCTTTTAAACAACATTTACTAAAAACTTTATTTTACTACTACTTTAACCAAGTGGGTTTGTTGGGGGAAAAGTGGTAAGGGTGCCAAAACATGGTTTTGCCCAAGGCGCCAATACTTCTAACGCCGGCCCTGCATGCATTGTATGTACTATATTAAGTGTTCACGTGCCGGGTATCGCTTTTCAATGCCCAAACCGATTGTGTAACTTCATGAGTTTCCGGGCGATAAATATTTGCAATCTAAAATATTCTAAAACATTCGAGATTAATATTGGTACGACTGGAAGATTTTTTCGTGACGACACCCTAAGCGCTTCGTGTTTGGTGTTCGTCCGACACTATGGTGGCGCTCCCAAAAAAATACGTCATGGCATCGGTTGAAACGTCGTTCGTTTTCCGTGGACACGAGGGAGTTGACGTGTATTGTTTTTTTTTTATATATATTTTATCACCGTAAATGTATTAATCTGTGTTTGATCGAAAAATAATCGAATGTGTTCGAGGATCATTCATTTTGGTTGGACGCCTTCTTATTAATTTCATTGATATGATTTAATATTAGTTAAAAAAAAATCAAATGGTACGCTCAAAAGGCTCTAAATCTAGTTTCGTCATCTAAAATATTAAAACGTCCCTCTCCGCCCCGTCCGCTGAAGATTTCGTAATTTTCATCCACCGCGTGTAGCTTGCAAGTGACCAACGGTTGTTCGCCGTTTTCAGCGAACGGTGAACAGTGTCGATCAGAGGCGGCTTGCAAGCACTTACTACCGGGGCAGTGCCCCGGTAAAAACATTTTTTATGTACATTTTGATTAAATAAATTAAAATTTAATAGGTATACCAGTATATTTATGAAAATATTTGAAGGTACATAATTTACGTTTCAGCATTTAAGTAGTTTTAATGTGATACGAGAGAAGCCAGAACAATTTTTTAGGCAGGGTGGTTTAAATTAAACTGCCCCGGTAAGATACAAATGTTCAAACCGTCTCTGGTGTCGATGCATACGTTTTGACATGTTCCGAAATACCAACAGCGAAAAATGTCTAACGCCAAACCGCGTTATCGCAATGGCCCGTAGTGCGGCAAAGCGTCTTCGTCGCACAAATGTGTAGATCAAGGCGTAAATCATCAATCCCCGTCTTGATTCTTTCCGTCTGCGTGTCTCCATTTTAACCTGATAATGCACCACTATAAAGTCATCGACGAAGCACGCGCGTTCGCTTAGCACACATGCGGTACGTGCGCCCCACCGTCGGCCAGGTTGCGACACTAAACGGAAACGAAGTAGGGTGTACAAACGCACGGGTTTACATATAAGTGCGTGCTAAATACGGCGTTTCTTCACACATTGCAGTGCAACTCAACCTTCAACGACACTGTAGAACTTCACTTTTCGGAACAGTTTTCTCCAGCGTCGAACACATCGTACGTATATTTTTGTTTCAACGTATTCAACGAGTGTTCCTTCACAATTATCTTTTTATACACTCAAATATTATTAAAACCTATTTTTTACTGTGACATGAATACACGTTTATTTTAGTAATAAATAATATCTACAATAAGCCGCAGCGAATACTTCAATACGATTTGGATTAAATTGTTTTTATACTTCTCGTTGGTTTGGATTTTCACCCTAACGGAATTTTTAAATGCCTAAGGCATAACTACACTACATATATATAAATTATTATCAGGCCAATACAAAAATTCTGGGAGTCCTAATACCGATCAAATTTATCAATCCGCTTTAAAATAATTAGTATTAGTGAATTATAACTTTGCCAATTTTTACGCATAATAAATCAAAAGAAATATTTTTTTCGTAGTATTAATTACAAACATTTTGCTGCCCAAAAATACTAATGACAAAAAAAATGCAATTATGTAATGAATGACATTTATTAATGTCAACAGCTGTAATAGGCTTATGAAAGACTTATCAAATTACAAAATGTTATGGACTTTGTTTAGTGTATCCAAGTTATATAATACCATAAAATGATATGTTCTATTGTACATTTAATTTTTATTACATTGTCATAATTGTCATAAAGGGCATAAGTCTCAGTGAAGTGACCTACGAGTTGCAGTTCAGATGACGTATGTGGTCGATAAAACACTGAATTGTTTGGAAATTATTTTAATTATTATTAACGAAGTAATTAATATTTTTTTTTTTCTTATTCTCCAGTGAAATACTTTTTTTCCTATATTTTAAAATCGATTTCTAAAACGCACAAACACTTTAAAAGAATTAATATTATAATTTATAATAAATAAAAGTTCCTTTTAGCTATTATAATTACGTAATTTTTTAACTATGTGGTCAGTTGTCTCTTACTAATAAAAAATAATATTATAGAAATCCAACATTACTTTATCTTTTAAGTCAGCTCTAATTGAATAATTAAAATTTGGCATAAATACAACACCGACATTTACATAGCTGTTAATTAAGTTTAGAACTAATGCAAGTTTTAATAAAGTCCTGGAAATGTATATAAAGCTTATTTTATTATTATTATTATTATTTTTTTTTTTTTTTAGAGCAACTACAATGAAAACTATAACAATGTTAAAAGTGTAAGTATTCAATGCTCAATAATTATTATAACTTAGATTATACCAATATTGTGCTTCTTTTATAATTATTGCATGTGGGGTAGTATCCTCGAAAAAGAGCAAATGGTTTTATTTCAAATTGTAGAGAATTGTAACAGTTATTTTACTTGTTTATCTGTTTAGAAACTCAGAATAAATCCAATTCCTCTGACTTTTAATTTTAAAATAATTAAATCTGATTGATTATTTAAAAAATTTAGCAATTCATTAAAAATTAATCCTTAATATTTATTTAAAATCTATAAGTCGATAAGAATTTATTGAAATTGTACGATCAATCTACAAATCATATATTAAAACTATCAATGATGTCACCATCATCATGAACACCTAAATAATTTAAATAAATAATATAAAATAATATATAATTGATAATTTTAGTATATTTTACTACAGTTGATTTCTTATGTCTTTAATAATTAAAATTCAATTAAATCAACATCTGATTATTATACTATTTATTATATATTATTATAGTATATAATCATATACATTAATTTATATAATATTATGTATTTATTAATTTAATTTATTAAGTTCAATAGTCATATCAACATAAATACAGGTGTGGCCCATACTAAATTGAATGTACTAAATATTTTTCTATTATTCATTATTTTAATACTAAACTCCTCAAGAATTATTAAAAATAATAATTTTAATTCTAATGGTATTTGAATTTTTAATAATAATGATAATATATCTTAATAGTTTATATAATTATAATTAACTTTCAAAACACTAGAACGTTACAAGAAAAAACAATTACAATTCATTTTATTCTTAATTAACTGTATTTACGTAAAAATAATGCATTCATGAAATTTATTAATGTCTAGTATTGTTTAAACAGGTTATGTTGAATCTTAATCTACAAATTGATAGAAAATCATTGTTTTGATATAAGTAAAAATAAAAGAAAAATTTTATGATAAAGTATTAATCATAAATCAGAAAAATTAAGTTGTATGTTGAACATTCTTGTTAAATCCTTTGAATATTATTATAGAGGTACATTTTTACGGTTCACCTTACATAAGTAGGATTTGAGAATAATTAATTTTCGTAAAGGGTTCATTTGTTTTTGTAATATATGTTTATATATAAATATCCCTTTATATTTATACATAATAAAGTATTCTGTTATACTTCCATAAATAAGTTTTAGTATTTTAATTCATCATATAATATATGATATTATTATTTTATGTTCTAGAATTGGTTTTGCAGTGTTACTTCATTGTATTGAAAGCGTACCAATACCAGAATCAACTACAGACAATGAACTGTTGCGTTTTGGTAAAATCAATTTTGTATACATTTATTTTTCAAATTATATATATATATATAAATTTTAATAATTTTTTATAACAAAACGTTTCATAACAATTTATATTGGAAATGTCTTATATTTTTATATATACATTGATACATTATTAAATTATATTAAATTAAAATATTTATATCTGTTTACTAAAATTTAATATCCTAATCAAAACTTAACTAAATTTATTATATGAATTCTTATTAAATATTCAAGGGTATTGAAACCAACCTGTTCGGTGAAGTTTTTTGATAAAACTGTATTTAATATATAAATTTGATTTTATATTTTAGATGAGGAAACAGAAATGAATATTTGTAAAAACAATTTTCTACTTATGCTGTCCGTCCTCTGTGACAATAAATACTTTGATGGGACCGATGAGCGTGAGTTAATACTTCTAGTATATTCAAACTTTTTCACTCAGAAATGTTTGAATAAATATAAAAAAATTATTTTATTACTTAGGTCAAGTTTACGTATTTTGTTTCAGTTTACCGTAAAAGAAAAAGCGAAATTTATAATTTAAGTTACGAATGCTGTATTTATGAATGTGAACTTGACGAAATAAGATATATCTGTGCGGATCAAAGGTAAATAATTTCTTAGTTTATAAATAACTATGGATATGATCAAATAATTAAGTATACCGATTAATCATTTTTACAAACGTGTAAAATCAATGATCATAGTTTTGTGAGTTACATTTTTTTAAAATTTAAATTTGTGAGACACCAAGTTCAGTCAAATTGAATTCATTTATTTTTAACATGAAAACTTTTCTCTTATATATATATTAACTTGCAGTCGAATAGCACGAATAACTGAAATCAATTGAACCCTACCTAACTTCAAATATTATATTTAATATATAGAGTAATTTTTTTAGAAATTTCCATACAATTAGATGTTTAGAAATTGAGAAACCGAATAATTTCAGTTTTTGACTGTGTTAACAATTTTAGCATATATGATGTTCTTAATAAAAATAATTAATATATAGGAATATATAATTTAAAATTATTTATAATTAAAAACAAAATGGTCAACTTACAGTGCCACCGATGAGCATTTGTTTATTGTCAGAAACACTACTATGGAAAATGGAATGGATACGCCCACATTTTCACCAGTTAATACTACAAATGGTACTATAGATACGAAAACTGTCAATGAAGAAATGTCCGACCGTCCGAATCATGAATTCAGTGAACCCATAGCAAATGCAACTGACATAAATACCACATCTTGTAAGTCACCATTTCATTATTTTGCAAATTAACTTTCTTCTCATTCAATGATTTTGAGTTCTTAGCATTAAAGTCTTACAATATGTTATTTTACAGTAGTTATATACATTATTTCTTTTTTTTAAGTTTCAGACTGTATTTGATACTTAATTCATATGTTAATGAAGAAGAAAACATGCAACCCCTACACGGCCCAATAAAACTCAATATTCTATATTCTATACAAAATAAATTTGATTTTTACTTAGCATTTAATTATTGCATTATGAAGCAAAGAATAAATTATTAAGAAATATATTTCTCTTTGTTGTTATTTTATTGAATGAACAGAGATATCGATTCATTAGTTAATCATCAAAATTTGTTAAAATTGTATTATCAATATTATGCTGAAATCATAAATAATTTAAAAATTGTTTTGGCAGTTTTTCTTTAGAATTATGATGATCGGAGCAATTCTTTCAAAATCGTGTAAGGCAGTAAAAAAAAAAAAAAAACCTCTTATTATTTTTAAATTAATATATTCATTTTTTTCTTATAATGTAATAACTATAAGGAATATAACAGTCCTATAGGTTTCCATATATTACATACATAATATTAAATTTTTATTCACGTAATATGTAAATCATCGGTTTGAACACTTTAATTTATTAAATGAACATACTATGAAAGTTAAAGTCTCAAACTTAATTAAAATTGCTCATCGTTGACTGCTTAAGCTGAAATTTATCTGATGGCACGTAACAACAGATACTAAAAAATAATAAATAAATATAGCATTAAAATGTATGTATATTTATTAGAAAATATCGCAATTAAAATTGATAGTAAAATATTATAGTGATGTTATATTTATAATTATAATATTAATAAAATATAATACTATTTAATTATATAATACGTAATGAAATATAATAGTTATTAAAGAATCGCTATCGCAATATAGGCGAAAAAACCTCCTCAAACAAAAGTTAGTTATTTTACTGTGCGTGAGCGTTTCGTAGTACTTTGCAGTTAAATAATAAGCATAAAACTTAAAGAATTTCTTTAACGCAAATATCACATTACTTTAGACATTGTATGAAAAAATGATTAACCTTTTCTTGCTGAAAGATTTTTTATTCGTACACAATATTCACGTTAGAGACAGCGAAAAATATACGAACCGTGGTGTACAGTGCATTTTATAAGGAATTTTCACTGGGTGACAAAAAATGTTTTTCTCAAAATAGTCAATGTATAATACCATAGTACGATTATAGTATTACACGTTTGTTTTGCATTATTTCACACAATATTTTAAAATACTGTCGACAGAGTATAATCACTGGGCGATATTTGTGTCGCCTAGTTAACTAGTTAAAAAATGCACTGGTGGTGTATGCACGAACGGTACATCATACGTGCGTAACAGAATGTATTGCTGCTCACGCAAATGCCGTGACTAATTTTGTGCCGCAGTGTTTTAAACCGTGTTTCAAAACCATGTAGATTCACATGGGCGCAACGCGAACACGGCACCACAGTGGGATAGAATATAATTTAGGTGGCCAAAAACTGTTTTTAAAAATAACAATTTTAATTATAATTAATTATATTTAATTACATATATTATACAATCATATTTATCATAAATTCAATAAAAGATTAGATTTTATGTGTTTGTTTAGCTGTGTTTATGATTAAAACAATCTATGGAATGTGCATTTCATTAATTTTATCGTGTTATATGCGTGTGCAACAGATCTAGATTTTTCTTACAAAATAAAATTAAATAAATACGACTAAATAAAAAATTATTTTCTTGAATATGGAAACTGAAGGTAAGTTCATAATTTTGGCAAATTTCTATTTTTAGTAAAAAGCATACAAATTATAAATACGTTTTGAGTAGATTTGATTGATTTTATCAAATTTAAAGGTCTGTAACATCTAAGTTTCAAAAGGTTTATAACTTATTTGTTGGTAACACTAGTATATACACGTATAATGATTTGTTTAATTTATTACGGAAAAAAGATTATTTAAAACCTACATCTTCGGAATAAATTCAATAAATTTGGCACCATTTTGACTGCTATGGTCAGTGGCTATAAAATTAAAGACTAGGAGTTTGAAAAATATGCTATTGATACAGCAAAATTATTTGTTTCACTTTATCCGTGGTTTTATACGCCACCCATCGTGCATGGAGCTGATGTTATTCACACTTTGATACTGACAATAGGTAATTGTTATATTATATTTAAATTCTATCTTGTTTGAACAGTTAATGAATAATATCTGTGTTATTACTAATATATAGGACAATTATCAGAAGAAGCACAAGAAGCTCCAAATAAAGAGCTTAAAAAATATTGAAAGCAAAAATTTGAGAGTGAATACAAACGAAAACCTTATGCATGTTCTATTCGTATCATCAGATCCTTACATATCTTCTCTAAGAAATTGTCGTTAAAAAAAAAGTCGTCATTTCCTGCAAAAGTTATGTCGTTATAAGTTTTAAAAGAGGATGATACCGAAATTGAGGACCACTCTTCGAGTGACAGTTAAGAGACAGAAACTGATACCGATAGTAATTAATTTACTCATAAACATGTATTTATTTAAACTAACATTAAAAACTTTAAAATAACATTATATTTATAATGTATTTCTTTTGTTTTCATAATAATGTATCATAATATATTCAATTTTATGTTACTATTTTTTTTGGCCTCCTAAATTATATCCTATCTCACTGTGGGCACGGTCGACATGACGTGTGAAACGTTCCATTAACACCAGTGAACCGTCACGAAACCGCTTACACGCGGAAACCGTGTACGTGTGGAAAGGCCCTGCGGACACAGGTGTAGTAAGCCCAAGGCTCAGCATAATTTAATAATCCATATAATTTAGTATAAATATTAATAAATATGTCTACGGGCAGGAAATCCAGGGCAAGGGTGAAAACAACAAGTAGTTTTAAATAAATATGCCTATTCGCAGGAAATCTAGAGCAAAGGTGAAAACAACAAGTGGTTTTCACCTCTTAACATAATAATGCTAAATCGACAAAAAAAGGAAATAATATTAGAATTACACCACTTTTACGTCATTGGAACTCATATAAGTACAGGTAGTGCATTTGGCATTAATCAGAAGTAGATAGGTAGTTCTGATAGACAGTGTTAGACTGGTCATTTTCTCTTATAAAAAAATTATTACTCGTCATGGACATTGTTACAACCACATCGCCGCGAGTACATAATTCTTTACCCAGAATATACTGTTCTTTATTTTTGTTTTAACTGTTTGTTATTTTTCTTGTGACAAATCAATAAAAACAGTAATTTTTATTAGTGTTAAAATACAAGTGTTTAATTATTCAAATTACCTATCCCTCTTACGATTACGTCTCAAGATAACATCGAACGTGCTACGTCGTTAAATAATTAATATGGTACCGATCGTAGTGTCCTGCACAACGATCACTACATCGGCAACGGGACTCCGGCCGCTGGAACAGTTGGTCGGGACAGCCAACACGCAAGGGGGCAATTCCTGGTAGGGCGCAAAAATGAAAAAATTTCAATTTAATTGTTATAAGTAAAAGTAATATTATGTATTTATATATTTACTTGTATAATTTATAAATATTATTATGTTATATTTATGAATCTACTTATAATTATTATGTACCTATGTTTATATTTTAATAAGTTATTAAAACTAAATTTCAATAAAATTAACAAAAGCTTACATTATTATAAGAAAAATGTATTATTCATATTGCGTTTATAAAAAAATATTCAGTTTTTTGTAAGTTTTTTTTTTTTAATTAAAATATTTACGGACGCATTTCGAAGTTTTGCCCCGAGTGCAATATTTGGTTGCTACGGCCCTGCCGAAAAGTAGCCACCAGTCCGGCCGGGTCCAATTCGTCCGACGGCTCGTTGTCAGGCACATCCAGCTCGACCAGCCTCGGCCAGGTCACAGCTCGGGAAAACATTTTTAGAATAAGTGGTTTCGACGCGTGTGAGAATCGGAGACGTATACGCACCCCCCCCCCTCCTAGTTTTATTACCAAACCTGATTAAAAAGTATGTAAATTACAAAAGTTAACATGCGAATACGTGCTAATCACAATGGTAAATATTTGCCAACCAAAAAAATTGTAATACTCTGTGGGCGGCCCGAGGACACGTACGTG